CCGAAGTGGCCGTTTGGAGATGACTCTTAAGGGTCCAGAGAACTGGTTGGCCAAACTTTTTCCAAAGGGGAAGTCGGGTTCACGTTTGGAGTCAAAGTCAACAGAGAGTGCCATAACCAAAAGAAAGGCCAACAAGCTTTACTCCAGCTTGCCCTCGCGGGAAAGGTTTTTCTGCTGCTCAAAGGGAGGCGGAAGCACAAAGCGCTTTGTGGTTCACATCCATGAACATCGTGGAAAGCCACCTCAGTGCTCTCTCTCTTGTGCACTCTCAGGTCATGTGGTCAAGGCGGGGGGAAGGAATCATCAGGAGGGAAAGAAATCCAATTTACCGTGTAAAAAGCTTGAGATGCAGAGGGAGACCCAGTGGGAGAAAGATTACAGCGTCTCCAACCTACTGGAGCCGCTTGGAGACTGAAAATAGGGAGATGTCTTAGGAGAGATGGGCTGGTGGACTTGGCATGAAGGAGATAAGATTCTGATAACAAAAGTCACTCAGCTGAATGCTGTATTTTTTGGGGGGGGGACTCTGTTTCCCAGAATCCACTGGATGGCCATGCCTGGCCAGCGCATTCTGGGAAACGAAGTCCCCCCTAAATAATTTTTCCAGGCTATTCAAGTGGGACTCCAGCCTTATGACATTAAATCCCTCCGAGTCCTCGGAGACAGGATACACAGATTAAGGGGGCCAGCCAAGCTTCTGCTGCTCTGTAAATCTTGTCACCAAAGCGACCAACATGAATCTGACCTAACTCCGGGAGGCCTTGGAAGACAGGAGGGCTTGGCGTGCTCGTGTCCACGGGGTCACAAAGAGTCTGACATGACTTAACAACTGAACAACAACAAAATCTCACAAAATGACCCTCTCCTCGGGTTGCACTAATTAGCAGCTTTGGACACCTCTATGCTTCTCCATTCTTCGAGTCCCGAGGAAGGTAGAAAGCCACTGCTGCTTTCAAAAGTTTGCTGCATCGGGCAACCAGAGTCTTTATCGCCTAGATTTAGAAGAGGTCACCGTGTTGGTCTCTGTGAGCGTTATCAGGCCAAAACAAAAGAAAAATTTAAAAAATAAAGGTGACAAAAACGTTGTGGCGCCTTAAAGACTGCTATATTTTCACACGAGCTTTTGTGGACACCCCTGCTTCCTTATCGCCTGGGCTCCCAACCTTGAAACGGGCAGGGGAAGAATGGAATCGGAGAGGGGATGGAAACGATGTACGTGCCGGGTGGCATGAACCCCTTCCGTGACCAGGTTGGCCTGAGATAAACCACACCGAGAACGATCGTTCCGCCTGCGTTGGGCGGTTTCTTCCTGCGCCTACGGGTCCCAGCAAGCTGGTCCCACGGCCCCCATGAAAGAGTGGGTAAGTATGTGTCTTTCACAGCAAATATCCAGTCCCGTACATCTCCGAACCCTTGCTTTGCAGAGGCTGAAAGTTGTCGCTGTGCAGATTTCAAGTGCTTAAAACCCAGTGGGCCCCATTCAAGGCTTTGCAGGAATTAGAGCTTTGGGAACTGTGCAAAAATTAAAGCCTCTCAGCGTACCCAAAGCATTGGAGCCCCCAGCCTAACGCCACCTGGTCAGCTTGCTGGGATTAGCCAAAGAAGCCGGAGTGGGAGCAAAAAAGGGATGAGGAATAGAAGAACGTATTGGGGGCGGGGGGAGGGCAAGGCGAGGGCCCGGCAGGAGGGGGAAAAGATCAGACGAAGCGGTTTACCCACGTGGGAATCCCACACCCAACTCTTGAGGAGAGAACCCCTCCCTCTTTATCCACCCCCCTCAAACCTCGTGCACTATTCTACACAATTTATATAGTCTGAGCAGCCTGGCAGGAATAATAGGGGAATGTTTTCAATAATCCTTTATACAAGCTGTGCCAGAGAGATGATGCACTTGGGTGGGATGGGGGGGGGGCTCAAGATCACAAGGACCCGCCTTGTGTGGGTTTTTGGTTGGACTGCAAATCCCATCATCCTTAACCAGCAGTTCCCACTATTATCTATCTATCTATCTATCTATCTATCTATCTATCTATCTATCTATCTATCTATCTATCTATCTATCTATCTATCTATCTATCTATCTATCTATCTATCTATCTATTGGACATGACTGAACGATGGCCCACATCGCCAGCCAGGGCTGGGAAAAACTTGTCAAAATCATCTGATGACCCTTTTAAAAAACGTATTGGGTTTAGCTCAAGAGCCTCAACTAGTTTTATTTGGAAGTTATATGTAGGTGAACCCACTCACCTAGTGGGACTTGAAATCAAATCTCTGGTGGATGGGGGAGAATCCCAAGGCAGGATTTACTTATTCAAGGGGCCAGCCTGACTTCCCAGGGCAGGGCGCTTCGAAGCCTGGGAGCAGACACCCAGGAGGCCCTGCCTCGGGCCCTTGTCAAACGAACTTGGAAAGGGGCTGGAACCGAAAGGAAGGATTCTCCGGATGACCTTAAAAAACCGAGAAGACCCATAGAAGGGTGATGTGAGCCTTCAAATCGCCTGGACCACCCGAGTTCTCAAAGTGAGTGGATTCCAGCTTTTCAGGGCAGGATTTCAGATATGATTTTGATAAGGAGCTTAGATGGTGACTTTAAAAGGGGCAGGCGGGAAGGGAAGCAGACGTTCCGAGTTCAGATGTTTGGAGAGATCATCGGCTCAGCAGAAGGAAGAAGAGCCGGTCTGGCACCGTCCCGGTAGAAGATGGGTGGGGGGGACGAGGGTGTCCCCGGGGACGCCTCTACCTGCCATGTTCTTTTTCAAACCCTGGCCTGTCAGCCTCCCCAAGCAAAAATAATTCTGTATTTTAAAAAATGGTATGTCCTGCCGCAGCCTCCCAGACATCTGACTGCTTCTCCTCCTCTACTGTTCAACACCCCTCAAAACACCCTGTTTCTTCCATGCTTTTCTTCTGCTTTGGTTGGCAGGATATGGGCCAGAAGGGTCGAACTGTGCCGTAGACTGAGCTCCAGATGCATCAAGGGGCCTGGCTTCTCTACCTACCACTTCCCTCCCCCCCGCCCCACTTTGGTACCCCCACTTTGGAGCTACCTGCTTGCTCTGCTTGTCCGGGAGGATTAAGCCAAGATAATCCCCACCGGGCACTGAGGACAAGCGCACTGCCTTTTAGCAGCGGCCACTCGGCAGCTGGCAGGGAGGCCATCTCAAGGCTGAGCGGTTCCCAGGGCTTTGCGGCCAGGAGCTCCCCGCCTGGGGCAAGACCCAGGAGGTAGGCGCACGCGCGCGACAGGCTGTCTCCATATCAGGCACTTGCGACATTTTACTAGGAATTGGCTTCGCGAGAACCTCTCAGGGCTGTAAAGCGACAGAGGAATGCCCCAAAGCAACAGGTAGGAATCTGCCTCATTTTCAAGAGGGTGAATGATGCCCAGGTGCCCAGCTCAGAACTAGAGGTCAGCCTCCCTGATGCTCAACCCCCACCTGGGAAGCAGTACTACCACTCCCACTATACCCAGAAAGCATGATGCAAGCCATGCGGGTTGGGGAACTTCTGCGAGTTGTCGTCCACAAACGGAACCAGCTCAGGGGCCTCGGCCGGGGATAGAACCACATTTCGGACCGAGTCCACGCTCTCCCAATCAATTTAAGGACTGGGGCATAGGCATCCTCTCCACCCTCGCCTGTGCTTGTTAGAAATTGGCAAGGCTGTTCCTCAACCAGGCCCGTTCACTAAAAGGAACGGGAACCAGAAGCCTACCAAAAAAATTTCATTAAAAAAAAAAAAAAAAAAAAAAAAAAAAAAAAAAAAAAAAAAAAAAAAAAAAAAAAAAAAAAAAAAGTATCTTTTTGGGGAAAAAAAAGCCACAGAAAAATGTCTACCAGTTTTTCATGTTGACCTGTTTAAATCAGACGGGGATGCTGAAAGGGACACAGCAAACCTAAGGTTTCTGCGAGTTGTCGTCCACAAACGGAACCAGCTCAGGGGCCTCGGCCGGGGATGGAACCACATTTCGGGCCGAGTCCATTCTCTCCCAATCAATTTAAGGACTGGGGCATAGGCATCCTCTCCTCCCTCGCCTGTGCTTGTTAGAAATTGGCAAGGCTGTTCCTCAACCAGGCCCGTTCACTAAAAGGAACGGGAACCAGAAGCCTACCAAAAAAAATTCATTTATTATCAAAGAGATGCACAACGCAGCACCATGTTAAGCAAAATAGCTTGCCAAAAAAAAAAAAGGTATCTTTTTGGGGGAAAAAAGCCACAGAAAAATGCCTACCAGTTTTTCATGTTCACCTGTTTAAATCAGATGGGGATGCTGAAAGGGACACAGCAAACCTGTGAATAGCACACCCACCCACAAACGTGACAGAAAGTGGAACTGAGCGATTTCTCCTTTTCCCTCTGCCCCATACTTCATAGAAAAGTGAAGTTGGGAGGGGGCCAACGAGGCCATCCAATCCAACCCCCCCCTTCCTGCTCAGGGCAGGAATACAAATCAAAGCAGATCTGCCAGGGGGGGTCATCCAAGTTTTTCTTGCATTTATTATTTTATTTATATCCCGCCTATCTGGTCGGTTAAGACCACTCTGCATGACTCCAGACTTCAGTACAGGATTGGTTTGATGCCTCTGCCCCCCCCCCCGGCGCTACCAAACAACTCTTGCCCCCCCCGCTACCAAACAACTCTTGTATCTGTGTAACATCTGCTTCTGCCCCCAGAGAGTGGGAATTAAGCCATTTTGTTCAACCTGCTGCTGTGGGACAAGCGAGACGCAGCTCACCAGAGGGCAAGGAAATGCCACTGAAAAGTGCAATCCGTTCTCTGGCCTTCCACCTCTTCCCTTCTTGCTGCCCAAGAAGGGAAGGGGGGGTCGTTTCCAAGTATGACTCAGCCAGGCAACATCGAAGCCATCAACCCAGCCCTCTTGAGAGCAATTCAATTAGGCTCCTCTCCAGGCTAAAGGCATAACGAGGCAGCCATAACGAGACCTACTAGCACAGAAGCTTTCAGGCCATGCAAAATTTATCATGACACAAAGGAGAAGAGAGGCACTATCTTTATTTCTGATCAACTCATTTTGAAGAAGCTGGAAACAAGTTCAAACACACAGACGTCCCAGAGCTGAAAATGATCCGGAGCAACCCAAAATACATAAAAGGATCCAACCCACCACTATTACCGCCTTTCGCAGAAAAGAAGGGAGACAGCAGTTAACCCAGGCACTTAATACTTGGCCTAGAGGTATTGTTGCTGAGTGCCGATGCTTTATCTCTCTCTCTCTTGTTCTCTTGTGTTTCAAAGCCTGTAGAAATAAAAAAAAGCCCTGTGCACTTGCAGCTGAGATTTCAGTACACCTCACTGGGCTTTGATGCCTTGTTTACTGGGTCTAAGGCAGCTATTTAGATCAGTCAGGCTCACCACCCAGGGTGCAGAGCATAGAGGACTGGAGAGCGATGGCCAAGGTGAATGGGCTGCCAGCAGCGATCACAAAGGGAAAAGGGCCGGGGGTCCTGGCTACAGCAAGCCGACAGAGCTCATAGGAACTCTGAGGAGGGTTCTCAAGCCACCTATAGAAACCCCTTGCAAACTGAAGTCCAAGCCAATGGGTATTTATTTCATAAATGTTGGAAGCAGCTTTTATAAATAATAATCATATGGATGGTTTCTCCACCTTTTTGAGCTCTTCTGAGTCATGGAAGCGAGAAGTCAGATCTTTCCGAGATCAGCATCTGGGAAGGCCATGCTAGTCTGCTGCAGCGGTCCTTTCACCTCCCTGCACCCTGGGGTACTCCGTGTCATGGCCAGACTGGGAGCACCGCTGAACTGGAAATGCAGGAGAAACAGTGCCGCTATAAATAGAATGTAGGGAGCTGGGGAAGATGAGGCCAAGGGAAGGGGGGGGCCCTCTATAAATAGAAAGAAGCAGGTCAAGACCGGCAAAGGACCCTGGGTAGGAATGGGGAAGTCATCAGAAGACGACAAAAGCGAGTGCTGGGGTCCTACCCAAAAGAAGGACAGAAGGAAAGGCGCCGCGGGACAGTAGATCCGTGGTCAGCAAAATGGAGAGCAGGAGCTTCTCTCGGCCTTTCTGGAAATTTGCAGGCCATCTCTGTTTTTATTTTAAACTAGCCGAAGAAATGCATTTTCTGTCCCCGGAAGCCTCCAGGATCTTTAGCTTGGCATCCAGAGCATCTCCAACTCCCCACCACCACAGCACCAACTTAACTGAAAGTGGACAACATGAATTTTGTTTCAGATTTTTCACCGTTTCAGGGGTTCTGCAGCACGAGGTGGGCCTTGGGTCAGAAAACTGGCCCTTGCCCCGCTGGGACCAGCGTGCGCTTCAAAGAGATGGAGGCTGAGCTATGGCAAGGCGTCAAGAGAGAAGGATCACAAAAGCACTGCTGGGGCTGAGGGTGCAGATCCTGTCCCTGGGAGGACTCCTGTCCCAAGCTGTCGCCGCTCAGAGTCCTCATTCAAGTAGCAAAGGCTGTGTAGGGAAGGTCACGACAAGGGGAGGGGGGCCACGATCCACAGAGACTGGAGCAAGCAGGCTGTGCGCCTCTACCCTGATGCAAATTCATTCCTCAATTGGGGGGTGGCCAGGACGTTAGTTAGCCTGCCCGGGCTGAGAAGAAGGGCAGGCCGCGGACAAAGCTGTCCAGCTTGTTCCGAAACAGCTCGCTCTGGATGGTCTCGTTCAAGTTGCACAGAGGATTTTTGACCACATAGTCCACGTAAATCTAGAGAGGAGACGAAAGGAGAAGAGTTAAAGCCCCCCGAGCCGAGGGAGGCCAGAGCCACCGCCCACGCCAAAGTGCTTTTGGAGAGAGGGGAATGGCTATTTCAAGTCTTGCCTCTCCAAGGAAGACTTCCACGTTGACCAACTCCCTCTGTTTCATCCTTCTTTGGGTTTCACTGGTACCGCACGCAACAGACGGATTTGCCAGCAGGGCCGCCCACCCTGCCAACACTTCACCTCGCAAGGTTTGCACGTTCACTTCCATCTGATGGAAGCCACTAAATAGAAGAACTTCTGCAGAGGGCTGGTGCCATCGAAGGGGAGGGGTGGAACCACCCCAGGAGATGATTGAAAGCCCAGAGGGAGCAGCTGTTTGAGTATTGACCATATACTCTCTCCTGAATGGGTGGTCTCCCACCATTCGCTAACCCACCTCTAAAAATCAGACAGAGACAGGGAGCCTGGGGAGGGGAGGGGGTGAGGCAGTGGACTCAAATCCCCCATCCTCCAACCCTCCTCCTCCTCCACATGAGGAAAAAAAAGAAGGAGAAAGACAAAGCAGGTAGCTTGTGCTTCTGGGAACCGGTGGATTCTCTGCCTTCCGTCTGCCAAGCTCATTGGTTTTCTCTGAGGTTGCTGTTCCCGTTACCTTTCTATTTTTACTTCGCTAATTTGATTAAATTAAAAATGCACAGAGCAGCGGTAATTATCCAGTAACATCTTCTGAAGCTTAATTTGAGCATCTGCAGTTCTCTCCATGGGTTTATTTTATTTTAATTTGTTGGTCCTCCCACCTTTCTCCCACAGTAGGGACGTGCTTTATTTGTTGTTACCTTCTTTATTGTTGTTCACGATGCTGTGTTGTTGGTTTCGTTTGTGCCAATTCATCCTGAGTAATGCTCATTATGCCTTAGAAGGCAGAGAAGCGGTTCTTACAAGCATCCATTTCATCACATTTCAGGGGCACAGCCCGCCTGTGTTTTCCTCAGCACTGTCTTTATGCAAACTCACCCCAGCAACCACAAGGTGAACGTAGGCATAAAAACGAAACAAACTCTCCAGTCCCTTAGTGACTAAGTGGGAATTTCAAGTGAACTGGTTTACTTATTTATTTATTTACTGCATTTATACCCCGCCCATCTAGTCAATCGACTGCTCTGGGCAGCTTCCAACATATATAATAATAATTTAAACAATTTACCTGTCCACTTCCATATTTTGGGGGTGGGTGGGTTTTTTTGTTTACCGCCTTTCAGCGTGGTATTTGTTTGATCCTTTTAAATATCTGTATACAGCAGGACTCTCCTATCTGCAGGATCAGTATCCACCGATCCACCCATCCATGGTCTGAAAATATTAAAAGAAAAATCCTAGAAACATATATTTCTAAAGATAAACTTACCAGAACTAACCACTAGAAGGAGCCACAGACCACGCTATGGATAGCGTTTGCTGTAAACTGCGCTTTTCAGCATCCGTGGGAAGGCTTGGAACTGATTCCGCACAGATACGGGGGTCCTGCTGTACTTACCGCAGTTAGCTTTACCTACTGTCTTTTAATGATTTAAGCTGCCTGGGGTCCTTTTTTAAGAAGAAAGGCAGGGTAAAAATATTTTAAATAAACAAACAAATAAATTGGCATGCGCCTGCATACAGGAGATCGGTGGCAAGGGTTACTGTGAGACATAAAGATGGGGGATGGGGGGGGGGAGAAGACAGCAAAGCCCTCACTCACATAGCTGTAGATCTGGTGCAGCACGTCCCGGATGTTGCCCACCCCCAAGTCCGTGTTCATCACCACCTTCAGCCCCGTGGGTGTCTCGTAGTAGTGCAGCTTGTATTTGCTAGTCTGGAAGGAGAGAAAGCCGTCCTTCCTGGGGCACAAAGGTTAAGGAGAACAGAAGGAAAGGAGAGAACAAGGAGAGAACCTGCCAAGTTTCCCTCTCCCTGGTTTCCATATAGGTCAGCCTTGAAATCTCAGCTTTGTATGGCCTGAACAACAACAACAAAAAGAGAGAGCCGAATCCCGACCCTTTCCATCCCACAATCGCAAGAAAAGGGGCGGGGGGAACCTTTCAGAAGAAAGGATACATGTCCACGGGGCTCATCTTGCTCACGAAGGAGCGGATGGAGAAGAGCATGCCGTACATTAGTTTGAACTCCTGCAGTAGGGAGTGGACAATAGGAGGAGAAGGGATGAAAATCCATGGCAAAGATGCCAGCGTTTGGCGGAGCCGGCCAAGTGGATTTGCTATGCTCCAGCATCACACGGTGGCCAGTAGCAGCAGGTCACTCATTATAATACGCTGGACTGTTATTTCAGCCCTTCCCCAGTCCCACCTGCCCTTGGTCACACACACACAAAATCACAGCTTTACATGTCCCCACGTGTTAAAGCCTGACAGGTCAGTCATTCTAGATGAAGGCAGACACTCATTTTTGCAGACTGTGGAGCCTCTGCAGCCACCAAACGTGACAGCAAAAGTCATTTCAGAACTGTATTTTTTTGGCTTCGAACAAGGCACATCAGAAGGATGTTCCTTCTTTTAAAGACACCTCCTGCGGCTGCAACTCCCTTACGTCTGCTGCCAAATTTGGGTGGTATGCATGGGCAGCTTGAGGGCTATGGAAGGACTTGGGTTTTCCACACTTGGCTTCCTAAAAGAGAGAGAGGTGTGAGGTTGAGGCAACTTTCCTTTCCAGAAGGTTTACCTCCATATTCTTTGGGGTCCTGCAGAGTGCCGAACATGCTACTGGTGCTAAATAAATAAATAAAAGAGGATGATAAGGTGTGGTAGTAGGACTCCCGCACTCTCCCACTCAGTCATTGATCTTCCGGGGCCTGGATTTTCAATGGTCACTTATTCCCTTGCATAGGGTAGATGTTCTTTCAAGCCCAAGAAGAGAAGGGCTTGAAAGAGTGCTGAAGACCTGAACGGACAGATTACACAGATTTTAAAGCAAGAGGAGAGGTAAATAGAGTAGCTTCAGGGAAACGGGAGATGCTAAAGCACTCTTCACTGGACTGATTAAAATTAAAAAAATTTGTTTTACTCTGCTAAAGCATCACATGTAATCCGCTTAACGTCTTTGTATCAACTGACAGCTTAGTCACGCTCACTTGGAATGATACCAAATTTTGAAAGCTTTTTAATAGGAAAGATTAAGAGAAATGAAAATAAGCACCTTGCAAGTCCAACCAAGCTAAAAATAAAGAAAACCACTGCTAAGCACTGGAACTTAAATTAGTGGTCCTTTCATTTCATATGTTTAAACATTAGCACATATTGCAATTTTAATTGCATCTGACTTTGAAAAACACTTGATAAGCCATCGCGGATGAGCTGAGAAGCAAAAGAAGCAAGATAAATAATTCCACGGGGGGGAGCCTCTGACAGGCTTGGTTGCAAAATAGCATGCTGGAACAAGAGACACTTGGTGTGACACAGCCCTTCACTATCTTCTCATCATCTGAGATGCCTTTGAACCAGCCCTCAGCTCTAGTAGGCAAGATAAATAATAAAGCATAGCTAACCTGTCACATGTTGTAATGTAGCCATCTCCATACTGACACCCTACATTCATATTATTCAGGGCCATATATTACCGTATTATTGCTAAGTCGTTAAGTCGTGTCTGACTCTTGGTGACCCCAAGGGCCAGAGCATGCCAGGCCCTCCTCTCTTCCACTGCCTCCTGGAGGTGGGTCAAATTCATGTTGGTATTGCCTGGCCTGGGCCTAATGATGACTATGTGCTGTCAATTGATTCAGATTCATAATGACACATTCCAAGGTTTTCTAGGTATGAAGCCGTTAGAAGTGGTTTACTCCTCCCTTCTTCTGAGAGCACTTCTGGGAGCGTGCAGTTCGCCCAAAGCCGCACAGGTTGGCCCTTTTTCTACAAGGCATGGTGCACATTAAAACCCTTAACCTTTAGACCCCGCAGCCATGAACCAAATTCATGGGGCTCTTCAGTCGCCGCTCCTGATTCTTCTGAGAGCACTTCTGGGAGCGTGCAGTTCGCCCAAAGCCGCACAGGCTGGCCGTTTTTCTACAAGGCATGGTGCGCATTAAAACCCTTAATGTTTACACCCCGCAGCCATGAACCAAATTCACGGGGCTCTTCAGCCGCCACTCCTGGCCTGCCTGGAGCCTTACCTCCTCTTTGGAGATGCCAGCCTGTTTCTTACGGTTCCACTCGCTGTAGTGCAGGCAGGCACCGTTGCGGTCAAAGATGTACAAGTTATGCACCGTCATCTAGAAATAAAACCAGAAGATTTAGTTGCATGCAGGCCCAGCAATTGTATCTAACGCAAACATGTCCCGACGTTTTGGGTTGCTTCACTTTAAAAGTTTTGGGGAAAGAAATAAAACCAGAAGATTCAGTTACATGCATGCCCAGCAATTGTGTCTAACGCAAACATGTCCCAACGTTTTGGGTTGTTTCACTTTAAAAGTTTTGGGGAGAAAATCTTAAGCCTCTTCAAACATGTCCATCTAAAGGAACTATGAGAGCCAAGCATCAGGGCAGAAAACCGAATGCTCTGACAACGCTCGTTCCTTCTGCTTTGCTCTGCTCCCGGGATGCAACTGGAGGTGTGACGCTGGGGAGGTTGTCACAAACCCACGCGTTTTCTTTGGGATGTTCTCTGAGACGACAGGGTCCTGGCTTGTGCCCTGGCGCTCAGGTGGGTCCCCATCATGGTGCACTCCTTGCTAAGCAATCCCCGGCCTGCAGCACACAGCTTGGCTCACTGACTTGAGCCACCTGGCTGGTGTTGGAACAGCAGCTCCCAAATTCGGCGGGGGGGTTCCCCATGTTCCTGGACTACAACTCCCATGAAGCCTAGGTGGCCCTTTCAGAGCAGAGGGCTTCTGGGAGCTGTAGTCCGGAGGCGTTTGGAACCCACAGCCCTAGGAAAAAGCCACGGGGCTCTTCTGTCAATAAAGACGGGACACGAGTAGGGAAACTAGCTTGCCTTGGAGATGATGACGATGAGGACGATGATGATGAAGAGGGCGCACTAGAGGGCCTAGGCCGGTCCCCTAGTCTCTGCTCCCAGGAAAAGGCTCACCGTGGTCTCTATGGCAACCTCTCCCTAGTCAATGGCTCCCCGGTGCTTCCACTTCCGGGAGAGGGGCGGAAGAGAGGTATAACGACCCTATCTCCCCCGCCGATTGGCCAACTTCTCGGTCTGTTCCACTAGCTCCGCCTCCCCGGCCTGCTGGGGTGGCTAGGAAGCCGCCCCTTCCCTCGCCCCGCCCTCTCCGCCCGCAAGCAAAATGGCGGCGGCGCCTTCGCC